GAGACCACCATTCCGCGACGAGACCACCATTCCGCGACGAGACCACCATTCCAGGACGAGACTGCCAATCCGGGAGGAGACCGCATTCCGGGCTGCTGGAATACTGGGCTGGAGGCCTCCGCCAAAGAAGACCGCCATGGCAGGCCTAGACCACTACTTTCGGATGAGACTGCCTGCCAGGCTGCTGGAAAACCTGGAAGCCGAAGGGGAAGAAGACCTCCACGTGAAGAAGAGACCTGAACGCCGGGACAAGACTGCCGCATGGGAGAGTGCCACATTGTGCTTTGACCGCCACATCTCGTTCAGGCGCCTGGGCCTAGCTGCAGGCCTGGGCCGTCAGGCCAGCCTGCGAGTCCAGGCCTGGAGGGGAGTCAGCCCAGGGCCTGCTCCCCACTCACTGGGAGATCCCAGGCTGGAATATAGGAATGTCCGGCTCGTCCTGCTGTCGCTGACGCTGCTGCTAGAGGCCTCCTCCTTCACCTGCAACCCTCCAGACAAGAAAAGAAAATGAAGAGAAAGGTGTATAAAAGACAGATAGAGAATCTTATCATGAAATTGCTCCTGACTCTGTACTGGGTCAGGTCAGCCTTGTTTTACAAAATTAGAGTAGAAATAGTTACAAACAATTTTGCATAATGCTGCCAGTCGTGGCGTGAATTGAAGGTTCTGGGTTCCAGTCTCAGTCCGCACGCTGTAATATAGAATCTGTGATGATACACTAGTGAGGTACTGAAGGAATGCTATGCTGCCAGAGGTGCTGCCTTTCAGATGTTCTGAAACCATCACGCCTCGTTTTTGATGATCTCCTCTGCAGTGCTGTTGCCCATTTTAACCCCGTGATTGTAAAATAACACTCTTTATTTATGACTAGTCAGCAGAACACCAAAGTGCCGTAATAAACGTAGTTTACAAATGTAACCTCCATTTGAATCAATTTTATTTAATTTGTTCATGGGATGTGGGTGTCACTAGCTGGGCCAGCATTTATTACCATTCCTAATTGCCCTGGAAAAGGTGGTGCTGAGCTGCCTTCTTGAACTGCTGCAGTACTTAGGAATGTAGGGCTCCCACGGTGCTGTTAAAGGGGACTTCCAGCATTTTGTCCCAATAACAGTGAACAAACAGCAATATAATTCCAAGTCAGAAATAAAAATAGAGTGCTGGAGAATCTCAGCAGATCTGTTAGTGTTTGTCAAAGGGAGAAAATGGAGCTAATGTTTTGAGTTTGATATGATTTTTTCCGGGTTAATATTCATCCCAGAATCCATACAGTGCAGCAGAGGCTATTCAGCCAATTGAGTCCACACTGACTCTCCAAAGAACATCCCACCTTAACCCAGCCCCCTACCCCATCCCTGCATTTTCCATGGCCAATCCACCAAACCTGCACCTCTGTGGGGGAAACTGGAGCACCCAGAGGAAATCCACACAGACAACGTGCAAATGCCACACAGACAGTCACCCATGGCTGGAATTGAACCCAGGTCCCTGAGGCTGTGAGGCAGTAGTGCTAACTTCTAAGCCACCATCCTACCCACTATTCCTACTTTTAGTGCTTTTTACCATCGAAGAGGCTACACCTATATCCAAACTGCCCAGCCATCTTTTGTCTTGGTAAATGGTACTCAGATGTGTATCTCCGGTATATTTCATTTGATTTCTGTAATAGATATAATTTTAACAATTAAGAAAGTAATTTGCTTCCTCTGGACCGATTTGCCACCTAGTGGCCAACTTGTGAAATAATAAACCTTGCCTTCTTCAGTTTCCTGCTCAAAAAGCAGGTTAATCCGCAGCAATACTATCTCAACGGAGGGCCAGTGGGGGCAAGGAGACAAGTCCGAATCCATCCCAGCCCATCCCAACCCAAACCCAGCTGCCCGACCAACCTTGTCTCCAAGGAACCTGAGTTGCTGCGGCTTGTGTATCCCGGAACAATTGACTGTGATAGCAAAGACTGTACTTGGCTTTCCTTTTTTCAAATCTCTCAACTCTGTAATGTCCTCTAATTCCACAAATCTTTGAGATAGCTATGCTCCAATTCTGGTCTCTGATTTTAATTATTGTGTTACCATTGGTGACTATGCCTTTAGTTCCCAAAACTCCCACCAGCTGCTGTTGGAGTCGGTTGGAAGGATTTAAAAGTTGATATTCAACCAGTTGGACATATCCTGAATGCGCCATGTCCCGGAGTGATACTTGTAACTGCCTCAGAGGTTGGGACACTGTGTCACAAGGCATCACAATAAACCTTCAGAGATGGCAAGAACTGCTGATGCTGGAGTCAGAGACAACACAGCATGGAGCTGGATGAACACAGCAGGCCAGGCAGCATCAGAGGAACAGGAAAGCTGACGTTTCGGGTCGGGACCCTTCTTCAGAAATGAGGGAGGAGGAAGGAAGCCGGGAAGTAAATAGAGAGAGGAGGGCTGGAGCTGGGGAAGGTAGGTGGGATATGATAGATGAGTGCAGGTAGGCAGTGGTGGGGATTGGTCAGTGAGGTGGGAGGAGTGGATAGGTGGAAAGAAGATGGACAGAGCTTTCTGCTGTTTTTCATTCCTGAGGAGGTACAAGTGCAACTGATTGGACAAATTGTATTTGTATAGCACCTTCAACAAAGTAAAACGGCCCAAAGCACGCCACAGGAGAATTATCGAAAAACAAAATATGACACTGAGCACAAAAAGAGATGCTAGAGAAAATGAACAGAGGTGACTGAGAGCTAGAGAGGTTTATGGAGAAAAGGAATTCCAGAGAATTAAGTTTTGGGAACTAAAGGCATAGTCACCAATGGTGGCACAATAATTAAAATCAGAGACCAGAATTGGAGCATAGCTATCTCAAAGATTTGTGGAATTAGAGGACATTACAGAGTTGAGAGATTTGAAAAAAGGATGAGACTTTAAGTTAAGGCATGACTGGGAGTGGTTGTTAGTTAGTGAGCACAGAGGTGATGGATAAACAGGATTTCCTGAAAGTTAGGACATGGGGAACAGAGGTTTAGATTCCCCCAAGATTACAAACATTTAAGAGTCACCCACATTATTGTGGGTCTGCAGTCACATGAAGGCCAGACCAGGTAAGGATGGCAGTTTCCTTCCTTACAGTGCACTATTGAGTCAGGTGGGCTTTCACGATAATTGCAGTTTCAGAGACATCATTACAGTCACAGAAATTGCTGGAGAAACTCAACAGGTCTGGCAGCATCTGTGGGTCATTGGACTCGAAATGATAACTCTATTTTTCTCTCCACGGATGCTGCCAGACCTTCTGAGTTTCTCCACTTTCTGTTTCTGTTTCAGATCTTCAGTATCTGCAGTTCTTTATTGACTCGTCAGAATTACTGACATTTGCTTTATATTCCAAATGTTATTAGTTGAATTTAAAATGTGGTGGAATTTAAACTTGCCTGATAATTGTATTTGAGTTGCTACAAATTGTTGTTTCCCAGGCACTGAAGGTTAGATTAGGAAGAAAGATTATATAAATTAGGCTAGTTTTTCCCGGAATTTAGAATGTTAGGGAGTGAATCGATGACTTTAAACTTCTAAAATTTTAAGTTCAAAACAATTTTAAATTTAGGAAAAAGCCTTTCAGGAACTGTCTTCCCCAAAAAAGTAGTAATTGCTGGCTGAATTAAAAGTGTCTAATCTGAGATTGATAGATTTATATTAGTGAAGGACTATGAAGCAACTGTAGTTACTGGAGTTAGGATACAGACTGGCCATGACTTCATTGAATACATAAGCAGTATAGAGAGGCTGAATGGCCTGTTCCTAATCCTGCATTTCCTTTCCAAATTTCCATTGCGGAGGGTAGGTGTACTTCGAGTCTGAAGAGTGTTTGTCAAGAACGATGATGAAAACTTTTGTTGTTAAATTGATGGCTTTGCTAAGAAAGCTACCAAAAGTTCCTCATGAGCAATTTGAAAAGCGGCTCGATTCAAAGTAAAATCTAAATTAATTGTTGCTACTGTATTGACATACATCTGTCACCCTTAGCCTCATTGAAGACAATCATCGTCGTCTGCAAAGGATAGTCTGTATATATATATAAAAGCAAAAATTGCTGGAAAATCTCAACAGGTCTGGCAGCATCTGTGGAGAGAAGGCAGAGTTATTGCTTCTGAGTCCAGTGACTCTTCAGAAATGTTAGTTCTGCTTTCTTTTCACAGATGCTGACAGACCTGCTGAGTTTTTTCAGCAATTTCTGTTTTTGTTTCTTCTTTTCAGCAACTGCAGTTCTTTGGGGGTTTTTTTTTTTCTGTCTGTATACAAATGTTTCATTGACAATAACAGTGCTGCGCAGTTCGTATACCAGCCAGCACATTGGTCCCGCTTGCATTTCTATATTTTGTCTCATGTTTTTTTATTGTTTCTTCAAAAGGAGGAGAAGATTAAGATGTTGAGGAGCAGTTCCAGTGGATCAACATTTAAAGTGGGAGACAGCTCCCCAGAGACTCCAAATGGCAAAAAGAGTAAGCAAGGGGGCATCTGTTTATACATACTAAGTCACAGCAGATAAATCCATATTAGTAAGGTCACATGGTTTTAATAAGCTGAACTTCCATTAATTGATTAACATGGAGCTGGCTGACCAGGAAATCCATTGGGACCTGGAATTCCGGGCTCGCTCTCAATTCCATAGAGTTTAAACTCCACAGTTTGTTTGTGATGGCCCCAATCATTTCCTCTCTGGTTGACAGATGGAGCTTCCTGTCAGGCAGGAAGCTGGTGAGTAAAGGTTGCAGAGGCAGACAGTGGTCGGGGGGTGGGGTTTGTGGGTAGCATGGGTGGCACGGTGATTAGCACTGCTGCCTCACAGCACCAGGGACCCAGGTTTGATTCCACCTTCAGGTGACTGTCTGTGTGGAGTTTGCACATTCTCCCCGTGTCTGCATAGGTTTCCTCCGGGTGCTCCAGTTTCCTCCCACAGTCCAAAGATGTGCAGGTTAGCTGGATCGACCATGTTAAATTGCCCGTAGTGTTCAGGGATGTGTAGATTAGGGGGATGGGTCTGGGTGGAATGCTCTAAGGGTTGGTGTAGGCTTGTTGGGCCGAAGGGCCTGTTTCCATACTGTAGGAATTATATGATTCACATGATCTGTCAGGTCGTGTGAATCATAGAACATTGACAGGTCAGTTGAGTGGCCTGCAAAGGCTGGGGTTTCTGAGGCCTGGGAGGGAAATTTGAGGGGCTTGTTGGTGAGGGGAATCAAATGCTGAGTCAGGGAATTGGAGTCCTGAGGATGAAGGTGGGGGCCTGCAGGTATGAGTGGCTAAATCCAGTTGGATGGTTTCCTGAAGGTTCAATGACACAGCTTACTTCCTCCAACTGCCCCATGAGGTCAAGCAGCCTTCTCCTTCATTGGCAATATTTTTATATATCCCGAGTAAATTCTTTCCTGGAGTTGCTCTCTGCCGTGTCCTGGAAATTAAACTCCAATTCTCACAGATTCCAGGGCAATCCTGAAAGGTTAGCATTCCTACCAGGAAGTAGGTGGATTGGAGTAGATTGGAGGGAGATTTTGGGGACATTGTAGTGGGGTAGGGTGAAGGCCAGTGGTGAGGGTAGACTTGGGGAGTGGGGATCCTAGGGGTGCTGGACCCTCAAGGCAAACTTAAACGCATTCGCCTCCCGTATCCAACAGATCCTGACTTTGATGAAGCAGTTGGCATTTCTGATACTTAGCAAACCCAAACTCAAGCTGAAAACTAGATGACAAGGCTTGTGACCTTGTTATAATTAACCGGTTTCCCGTTAAAACTGGGAATGGGTTTTTAGGTGTGTTTGGATCAGCAGACTGATTTCCCCCCACCACTGACCCAAATCCTACCCAAATACCTCCTAGTATTTCCACAAATTTAAGGAGAAACAAATTGAACTCAAAGACAAGTGATTAATGTGTATATGGAGGAATTGCAAAGATTTGCTTCTGATTGGCTGCAGTGGATTCTGAAAGCCCCAATTTCAGAACTGAAGTTTCTTCCTCTGACAAATCAACTTTATTTCAGAACATAAAACCTGGAGTTGCTTCATCCACTTGAGCCTGTTAATAAAACAAAGGACTTGCATTTACATAGAACATCTTGAATGTGAAAGATGCTAGGAGTACATCTCAGCTTATTAGCATTTTTAAAAGTGTACAGAATCCCTACAGTGTGGAAGCAAGCCATTCAGCCTATCACACCAACTTTCTGAAGAACATCCCCCCCCCCCCCCCATGTTATCCCTGTAACTCAGCATTTCCCATGGCTAACCCACCTAGCCCTCACATCGTAGAATACGATGGGCAATTTAGCATGGCCAATCCACTTAACATGCACCTGTTTGGACTGTGGGAGGAAACCAGAGCACCCAGAGGAAACCCATGCAGACATGGGGAGAATGTGCAAACTTCACACAGTCGCCCGAGGGTGGGATCAAACTGGGGTCCCTGGCGCTGTGAGGCAGCAGTGCTAACCACTGAGCCACCGTACTTGTTGATGTGGCATAAGTAACACAGATGCCAAGTTGTGCACAGCAAGCTTCCACGAAAAGCCTTAAGATAAATGACCATATAATCTGTCTGAGTGATTAATTGAGGGATAGATAAGGAAGTCTCGGTTTCCTGTATTTCCACTGCTCCTTAATTGTGGAAACTGTATCTAAGGAGCAGGAGCTGCGTCTGGAGATCAGATTGAGAAATTGGTACATCCCAGGTTTTATAGATTTTTGGATTTAAAGGGAATCAAACTCTTGGGTAGGATAGGGTGAGAAAGAAAAGTTGAAATCAAAGAGCAGTCAGAGATCATTGAAAGGTGGAGCAGGTTGAAGGGCTGGGTGGCCAATCCTATTCCTGTTTCATCAATTGTCTTATTGAGTTCTTGACGTTCCTGGTGCCTTCAGCCTTATTGTAAGGATTGATTAAAAAAAAAATGCTTCATTAAAGATTGCATCTCCATTTTTACACTTGGTTTTTTTTTTAATCCACAGCCCCTCCAATGTTCCTGCCCATCTCCTCAACTCCACAGCCTGAGCGAAGGAAGCAACCTCAGAGGCGACACTCCATTGAGAAGGAAACGCCAACCAATGTGCGTCAGTTTCTTCCGCCATCCCGGCAGAGTTCCAAGTCTCTGGTAAGTGTAATGTGGTGGAGAATTGTGTTACAGTGACACTTCCCTTCCTTGCGATGATTATATAGATCCCTGCAGAGCCAAAACTCTTTTAAAAAGTTTGAATTTCTAGACTGTCTAAAAGGTTCACACATCAAACTAAAAGCAACACTGAATAACCACTAACTAGTAGCCATTTTATACTTTAAACTATGGAGATGATCTCGCTGTTGGCTTTTAGCATGACTGGCAATCCTACATACGGTTAAACTTTACTCTGGCCCTTAAATAGAACCAATCCAAAGCTATTCTCTGCTCCAATGGCCTCTTCCTTTTTCCTTTTGCAGTTGGGTATCTTCCTATTCCAGGGCTGATGTTCATGACAAAGATTATCCTGCAGATTCTTCCCTTTAGTCAAAGCTGATGAATCTTGCAACCTTCTATAAATTCATTCAAACTTTGTTATTTCAATCGGAGCATGGTGAAGGATAAAGACAGAGTTTTTATTTTGTTTCACATGCAGGACTTGCCACCTCTGAAGACCCTTCTTCAGAACTGGAGAGAGAGAACGGAGCTGGGAAATAAATAGAGGGAGGAAAGGTGGGGGTGGGGGAAGGTAGGTGGATGCAGGTCGGGAGTAGTGGGGATTGGTCAGTGGGAAGGGTGGGGAGGCAGGTAGACAGGTTGTGTCAGGTCAAAGAGGCGAGAGGGAGGAGGGGTGGGATTGTGATAGGTGGATGCAGGTAACTTCCCCTCCCACTCTCTTGATGACATGTCCATCATGGGCCTCCTCCAGTGACACAATGAAGCCACCCGCAAACTGGAGGAGCAGCACCTCATATTCTGCCTCGGGAGCCTACAGCCCAATGGCCTCAACATAGAATTCACCAGTTTTAAAATCTCCACACCCCTGACCTCATCCCATGTCAAACCCTCCCTCTCATCCCCGCCTCCTTGACCTGACACAACCTATCCATCTTCCTCCCCACCTATCACCCCCAGCTTTCCAATCGCCACCACTGCCTACCTGCATCCACTTATCACCATCCCGCTTCCCCTCCCGAGCCCCACACCTCCTCCTACTCGCCTCCTTGACCTGACACAACCCCTCCATCTTCTTCCTCACTTTTACCACCAACCAGTCCCTACCTACATCCATCTATCACATCCCACCTACCTTCCCCAGCCCCACCCATCCTCTCTCTATTTATTTCCCAGCTCCCTTCCCCCTCCCCCAGTTCTGAAGAAGGGTCTTGACCTGAAATGTCAACTTTCCTGCTCCTCTGATGCTGCCTGACCTGCTGTGTTCCTCCAGCTCCACACTGGTGGCCCAGCAAGTCTGGCAGCATCTGTGGGGAGAGAAACAAAGTTAATGCTTCAAGTACAATGTGATTGTTCTTCAGAATACAGATACTGCCAGACCTGGTCAGTTTCTGAAGTTTTCGTTCTCTTGCTATTTTGGATTTCCAGCATATGCAGTATTGAATTTTAATTGTTTTAATTTAAAGTATAACCCGTCAATTAAACCTGACATTCCTAACACCTCCTGATAAAATCTAGAGACTAACGAGTGGATTTTCATGAGCCTTTGAAAATGGTGGTGGGACCCAGATGTGGAAGTTCTGCTACCATTTCCGACACATCCCATTTTTAGCAACAGGGGCAGGGAACAGGGTGTGATTCACACAAACAGGAAACCCAAACTAAACAGGGTTATTCAAACTTAGATTTGTCTGGTTCAAGGGCTCTAGCCCAGAGAGGTGTATTGAATTTTTGAAATAAATGTCAGTCGTCTTAAAGAGTTGAAAATGCCTGTTTAAGGGTCATGATCTGAAGTTTTTTTTATTGAATTACTTGCTGTTTAAAATTAGCATGAGTTTAAAAAGCACTGCACAATGTACCTTTAGTTGAAAGGTCATTTGTCATATGTTAGAAAAAATATCATCTATTTATGCAGTTCAGTAGAGTTCATTGTAGATATTTCCTAAGGGCCATCATCATGGTCTTATGAATGCTTGGCTGAATTTTAAAAACCACTATTATCTCAGGCATTTGTTATTCATTTGTGGGAATGGGCATCGCTGGCTAGGTCATCATTTATTGCCCATCCTTAATTGCCTGGAAGGCAGTTGAGAGTCAACCACATTGCTGTGTGTCTGGAGTCATATGTAGATCAGACAAGGTAAGGATAGCTGTTTCCTTCCCTAAAGGGCATTAGTAAACCAGATGGGTTTTTCCTGAAAATCGACAATGGTTTCACAGTCATCTTTAGACTCTTAATTCCAGATTATTTTTATTGAATTCAAATTCCATCATTTGCTATGGTGAAATTTGAACTCAGATCCAGCAGTTTAATTGATGGTTAAGGAGGCTATTAAAGGATTAGCTGTCTTTATTGCAGGGTCTGAACAAAAATTTGTGTTTAACATTTGAGATTTAAAAGCTTTGAAATAGTTTCATGTGAGGACCTGTTCCTGTGCTGTACTGTTCTGTGCTCTATGAGGCTTTCGATGTTGGATATTGCGTGAGTGGGTATGAGGATCCAAGGGATGAATAGGAACATCAGTTGGCCTGGAGTTATAAGTTAGAAAATAGGGAATCCAGGTAGAATCCATGTATCTGGATTCCTGAGGCTAAAAGCCCTATTCTTGCATTTAAAATTGCAGTGGCCCCTTGCTGACTCTACTGGGCAGTTTCCTACTCAATACATGCTCTTAGTTAAATTCTGTTGCAAAACAGGAGAGCATGAATGGGAGTATGCAGGCACAGCTGGTAGTAAGAAAGACAATTGGAATTTATGCAGTCATTGCTAAAGGAATTGAGTACAAAAGTAGGGAAGTGATGTTGCAACTATACAAGGTGTCAGTGAGGTCACACCTGAGTATTTATGTAGTTTTATTGGGAATTGTCCAGAGGAGGTTCACTAGATTGATTCCAGAGATGAAGGATTTGTCTTATGAGGGGACATTGAGCAGTTAAGACCTATGCTGTTTTGAATAATTAGAGGAGATCTAATTGAAGCATATAGGATACCAAGGGAGACTGACAAAGTAAACGTAGAGAGGACGTTTCTTGATGCAGAGCAATTAAGGATGAGAGATCATAGTTTTAGGACAAAGAGTAGAAGTTTTCAAATGGAAATGAGGAGAAATTACTTCTCTCAAAGAGTTGTGAATGTGAAGAATTCACTATTCCAGAGCATGGTGCATGCTGGGACACTGGAGGAGATGGATTTTTAATTAGTAACAAATTAAAGGATTATAGGAAGTGGAGTTGAAGCCGAGGTGAGATCAGCCATGATCATATTAAATGGTGGAAAAGGCTTGAGGGTTGAATTGGCTATTCCTGCTCCTAGTTCTTATGTTCGTTTTTGGAATACGTTGAGGGGAATATGAAAAGGAGGGTGATGAATGGGCACAAAGTTGGCAGATAGAACCCATTTTGCGAAGAAAGTCGAGCATTGAGAGCAAGTGCAGAAAGAAGTGAATAGAAAGGGAATGGCGGTTTTAGTTATACTCCGAAGCAAGGATCATTCTTTGTAGAGCAGTGAATGTTTAAGAAAAGATTTAATAAATGCATCTGCCTCCATTCCATCTGGACATTTCCAGACTCGTCTTACATCACGCACTTCTACTTTGCCCTCAGGTGCTGCCAGACCATTTTCTATTTCAATTTTAAATTCCCAACAACCACAGTATTTTGATTTAGTTTTACCACTTGGGTTATGTTGGGAATTGCTAGCCCTGGTGCCCCGGGTGACAGCCTCCTGCCACACCCACTGACCAAATAGTGAATATTATCAGGTTAGTGGTTGGGTGGGAATGGGGTGGAGGGAGTTAGATCTCAGAAATTCCTCGGTCTACCAGTGACAGAATCGTGGGACATTTTCCAGTCTATCCTGGTCCCCATTAGCAATGCTCCCACCTCAGTTTGGCATCTAAAGTTTGTGTTGAGCTCCTCTGAACAGTGTAGAAGACCCAACATTGAGTGTGTATGGAATGCAGAGTTTAATCACATTTGCACACAAATCCAAGAGCAGTCGGCTACTTTTCATTCAATCTAGCCAATAAGAGGAAGGATACCACGAGCAGCAGGCATCATTTATTTCATTTTACTTCAAAGACAAAATTACCACAATATGTTCATCTTCTGGTGGTGTACTTTAAAGGAACAATTTTGGTCAGCACTGAGAGTCAGATAATGCTATGGGACCTCCTAGATTCACTTAACCTGACAGAACATGTGTCGCCTTAAAATAACCTGATGTGGGTCTTGAGCTTACAACACTGTGGCTTAGTGGTATGATTGCTGATGAGTGAACCAGGCCAACAGTACAAGTAGGGATAGAAGGAACTGCTGATGTTGGATTTTGTGATAACAAGGTGTGGAGCTGGATGAAAACAGCAGGGGAGGGGTCCAGACCTGAAGCATCAGCTTTCCTGCTCCTCTGATGCTGCCTGGCCTGCTGTGTTCATCCAGCTCCACACCTTGTTACAACAGTACAAGTAACTGGGAACAATCAGACACATTGCCAGTGCAAACCTGGTGCATGTTTCTGCTAATTTCAGAGATGTTCTTAAAGTCCCTATCAAAATTTCAAACCACCTGTGCTTTCTTAAATTCATTAGAAATGGTCATGACCAACCCATATTGATTTCATCCTTATTGATGCTGAAATGTACGGCTTTGGTTGGAAATAAGATTTGCGGTTTGTTTGTTTGTGGTTCCGACGGAGAATCCCCATGCAAGTTTCCATTGTAACCATCTATGTGTTGTCCAGGTGTCCAGGCTAAGCAGTTTATTACCTCGGATGTGCCACCAACTGTTTATCCCAAGCATGCAAACAGTCTCCATGCTCAATTCTTGCCCGCTGGAAGCCGCCATGTTTGGTTTGGTGGGGGCTGTGTATGTTCTGTGTGAGGGAGTCTTTACCAGCAGGTGGAAAACACCAAAGGTTTGCTGTTTCATCGTCTCTGACATACTCCTTTTAAATAACCAAACTGGATCACTGTTGCTTTTGTACCAAGAGCAATGCCAGACTGCATTACTAAGATTGCTACTATCCGCTTTGATGGTTCCACCATTTCTGATTGACACTGATTTTATTCTTTCTTTGCCGATTTAACTTTTCGGAGGGCGAGACGCTAGTGTCTAACATTAGCCATTTCTCAAATGTGTTTTGCTTGAAGTGCTGTGTGCCAAGAAACATGATCCAATTATTGAATTCTCCACCCACTCCCCCTTCATAGCCAACATCTCTGCTTGGGTTTCTCAAGTAAATTGGAATAAGGTGATGAATCCCTGACGGTCAGATTTTGTTAATATCAAAGACGATAATTGAAAGGATAAATTGGAAAGGTTTGGGTTAAATCTCCCTTTATTTTTGCATTGAATATAGTTGAGTAGAACAGAGCTGAGCTTTTTATTGCTTTAACATTAAAGTGTTGAATTGCTGAAGTGTAAATGTTTTGAGGCCTACAGCCACGTTCAGAGTTTGAAACTTGATTTCTCGCCCTCCTGTTAACAGGTAAAGAAATTAAACACTAATCAACTTGAGGAAATGATGCGTGAGCACATTGTATGATATCTTTATGGCAGTGTTTTCCCTGTGCGTGATTTGTCAATCTACAGTGTTTCTTCACAATCCTCTGCCTTTCTACGTATGGAATATTCACATTTTCAACATAATTTTTATTAAATAGAGTTTGATTGCACTGTTTTTGTTTAATGGTATGTTGGAGGAGCTTGTGTGGGTTACTGAAATGATGTATTAATTCTCTTTGCAGCACTTCTTGTGGGTTTAAAAGATCATAAATGTTTCCTCTCAGCCCAACAAGCTATCGGTAAACAACCACACACACACACACACACACACACACACACACACACACACACACACGCTACAAGCTATCAGTAAATAACCACACACGCGCACACACAGATGCACACCCACACACTCACAGACGCACACTCGCGCTTGCACTCACACAAGCACACGCACATGCACTTGCACTCGCACATAAACACACACTGTTTTTCTCTCTCTCACGCACATGCACACGCAGGCACTTGCACTTGCACTCACACTCACATGAACATACAGTTTTTCTCTTCCTCACATTCTGTCTCACACACACACACACGCACATACACACATACAGACGCACAGTCTCGCATACTGACACTTGCACTAGCACACGCATTCGCACTCGCACACTCATAAACACACTATTTTTCTCTCTCTCACACTCACACTCTCTCTCTCTCTCACTCACACACTCTCTGTCTCACTCACTCACACACAAACACACATCCGTGGCCTCACTCACATGCGCTTTGACCTTGTGAAACAGCTTGTGTTCAAGTCCCATTCTAGGCAGTTGGTGCCATACCGGGGTAGTGCTGTACCCTCTGACATGCCGTCTTTCATGGTTAAACTGAGACCCTCTCAGGTGGACATCAAAGATCCCTTGGCACTGTTTCAAAAAAGAGTAGGGAGGTTATCCCCATGCCCTGACCAATATGTAATCCTCAGGTGACACCACTTGCTGTGTTCCTATATTACAATAATAACTACAGTACAACAACTGAGAAGGCAATACAAGTTGGCCTATACAGCCATGTCCACATTCCCTTGGACAAATACAAAAATAAACACTTCATTGCCTGTAAGCATTTTGAGACATCTGATGGTTGTGAAATGGGCCATATAAATGCAAGTCTTTGAGACTTCCCACCTGAAAGGAGCCAGGCTGCTTAGGTTGTAAAAACAAAAGTAAAGTTAAAAAATACCTGAATCTAGGTTTCTCAATCTCACAGTAGCTCCCCCAGATTCCACTCTCTTCAGATTTCACATCTAAGCTAAACTGCCAGTGAAAGTTTCTGACAAAAACACACAGGACACATTTCTTTTCCCTTTCTGGCAAACTTACCAATCACTTTGAAGAAGAGTGGATAGTAATGATCTGAGTTATCTATTCAGGCACCACACAGTAATCTGTAAAATCTGTCCAGCCCTTTCAATTCTTAAAAAAAAAGGCTACGTCAAAATTATAGGTCTCAGCTGTGTTTGCTGGAGAACGGTGATGGACCAGGTTTGTCAAAGCTCCACGATTGCTCTGAGGTTTCCAGTAATTAAAGATTGATCTTGCAGACACTCCCTAAGAGCAAACCAGCAACAAAATCAATCCATTGCTTTTAAAAAAAAAAGGTTCTATTTTCATTTTGTACTTTTTTAAAAAACAATTATCAGGTGGTAAAATAGGGGCAGGGGTCTGACTGCACTGTCAGGAACCAGCCAATCAGGTAATAAGGAGCCTATTCTCTTCCTCATTGGTGCAGTAAGACCACCAATAGGAATGTCAGGGCAGGAGAACTTGACAGCAGGAGGCTAAGTGATGAACTGCTCTCCCAGGGTTCACAAGTTGGAGAGGAGGACAGGTGTTGCTCCACAGAGGATCATTCTGAGACCATTTCTGCATCTGACTGAAACAGAACAACTTCGCTTTTGTTGACTAGAAGATATGTGGAAAAGGACAGGTGATTGGCACTAGGGAGTAGAAATGGCACAGGCATCATGGGTCAAATGGCCTCTTTCTGCACTGTAACAATTCTGTGATATTCCAGACCTGATTACAGGGAAAATGTGAAGGAATTTTATTTTCAGATCACCAGGCAGGATATGATGATAAATATTGTAAACAGAGTTGGCTACAGTACTTTCCAGGGTGGGAAGGGGAGCCCCCCCGCCAATATAAATCACCCTATTTTATACAGAACTGGGCAGAGTTTTCTGCTTATTATATCTTCATTCTTACCTCTTCCCTTCACCATCCCTACCTGCCCCATCCCCTTCCATTTGCTAATTCCAAGCTCAGCAGTTATCCCCCATGAGCAATGCTGGACAGTTTTATTATGAGGTTGTCATTTTGTGAAATGAAAGGAAATTTCATTTAAGAATCAAAGTTCTCGGAAAAATTGTAAAATGCAACTAGAATATTACTGAGAAGGGAGTTGTCAAAACTTACCTACTTATACTCGTCAAGTCAGATACAGGAATGCTAAATTTCGAACGGCTGCAATAAGTTGTACTAAAAGATACTAAAGGAAACTTGGGAAGGTAGCTAACATTGTGCTTAAACTCCATATTGAACATTAGAAAAACTTTTGACATATTCAATTGTATTCTTCAAACCTTTTTAAAAATCAACTAAAGTTTCTTAACTTCTTTGCTTGCGCTTGTGTTTGTGTTTGTATATGTATTCTCCTCTGAGACAATGAGTGGTGCCCATGTATCTGTTATCCACCTTTCCTGATCTTATTTCTGAATTATTTATATTTCTGAAATTTAAATTACAAGCCAATGAAACTAACTGAATGTTAACAGGTACCTGAATGGTTGGCAGCTCATTTGGACATTTGTGTTGTTACAGGAGGAGTTCTGTTACCCTGTGGAGTGTCTGGCACTGACAGTGGAGGAAGTGATGCATATCAGACAGGTCTTAGTGAAAGCAGAACTAGAAAAGTACCAGCAGTACAAGGATGTCTACACTGCCCTGAAGAAAGGAAAGGTTTGTTTAGCCTTTTGAACAAATCCGTTTCCACCAGGTTGGCAATTAGAGTCATAGAGCTCTACAGCACAGACCCTTCAGTCCAACTCATCAATGCCAACCATATATTCTACATTAATCTAGTTCCATTTGCCAGTATTTGGCCCATATCCCTCTATACCCTTCCTATTTATATACCCATCCGGATGTCTTTTAAATGTTGTAATTGTGCCAGCATCCACCACTTCCCCTGGCAGCTCATTCCATACACGTGCCACCTGCTGCGTGAAAATGTTGCCCCAAGGGTCCCTTTTACATCTTCCCCCTCTTACCTTAAACCTATGCACTCTAGTTTTAGACTCTATCCTGGGGTAAAGACCTTGGCTATTCACCCTATCCATGCCCGTTATGATCTTATAAACTTTTATGAGGTCACCCCTCAGCCTCTCCCTATAGATCAAACCTTCCAACCCTGGCAACGTCCTTATAACTCTTTTCTGAACCCTTTTTCAAGTTTCACAACATCTTTTATTATTCTTCACAATGACTTCATGATTTTTATTTTAAACATTGTTTTTTTAAAACATGCTGCATTTATTTATTTTTATCCTGTTCCGAAGCCTTTATTTACACTGTAGGAAGTGGGGAGGGGGTTAACTAGCCCATGTGTTAGACACTGTGGCCTAGACTTTGGATTGGGCTGAAAAACTGAAGGCTTCAAAATCTAGTGTTCATTCTGATTAATTATACACCTCACACTGTTTTTAAGTTAAAAAGCTCTGTGGTTGTTTGGTGCAGCCACTTGATGTCCGTGTTGAGTCCTTTGTCTGTACAGGCCTGGAGGCCAAGGCCTGTCGCAGGCCCTGTGTTCCACTTTTGGATGTGATTGCTGGCAGCATTCCGAGTGAAGCAAGCCCCAAAATGGGCAGGAACGAATGTCTACTTTCCACAATTTGTGAAGCCGGAAGGAGAATATTAAAAATGCAGATCACTGAGGATCACTGTTAGCCTGCAGTTCCCAGCAATCGCTTGAACAGTGCCTGGCTCACTGTGTCTTGGAATGCAATTGTACTTCCATTGCCACAGCAGCACTGACCCAGTGTTTCAGAACTACTTTATAGAACTGCCTACTTCATAGGTTAAAGGTTAATGTTATTGCTATGTAAGTAGAACTTAAAATAGTATGAAACATTAGAGTTAGACTTACGGAAGCTTGTCCTTTCCCAATATTCTCCACAGTTCCTTTGTTGCCTCTTGCCACATCCAGAATTCTGATTTGGCTCTCCCTGAATGACTTGCGATTTATCCAAGGGATAGTCTGGAGATCTGTAAAATGGTGAGGGAAAGCTGCTGGGCCTGATATTACATGCCCCCATCAGCTGGAAAAATAGTCAGCCTGGCCAGCCCACCCCCTTCCCAGCCTAGCCCCAGGGTCAAAGCAGTGATACACCTGATCACCCACCATATTTAAGTAAATAATTAAGGACATTGGAGCATGTTAGAAGCTCAGAGATAGTAGGAACTGCAGATGCTGGAGAATCCGAGACAACAAGGTGCAGGGCTGGATGAACACAGCAGGCCAAGCAGCATCATAGGAGCAGAGAGGCTGACGTTTCGGGCCTAGACCCTTCATCAGAAAAGGGGGAGGGGAAGGGGGTTTTGAAATAAATAGGGAGAGAGTGGGAGGCGGATAGAAGAGGGATAGAGGAGAGGATAGGTGGAGAGGAAACAAACAGGTCGAAGAGGCGGGGATGGGGCCAGGAAAGGTGAGTGTAGGTAGGGAGTTAGGAAGGGGATAGGTCAGTCCAGGGAGGACGGACAGGTCAAGGGGGCGGGATGAGGTTGGTCGGTAGGAGATGGAGGTGCGGCTTGAGGTGGGAGGAGGGGATAGGTGGGAGGAAGAACAGGTTAGGGAGGCAGGGACGAGTTGGACTGGTTTTGGGATGCGGTGGGGGGAGGGGAGATTTTGAAACTTGTGAAATCCACATTGATACCATTGGGCTGCAGGGTTCCCAAGCGGAATATGAGTTGCTGTTCCTGCAACCTTCGGGTGGCATCGTTGTGGCACTGCAGGAGGCCCAGGATGGACATGTCGTCTGAGGAATGGGAGGGGGAGTTGAAATGGCTCGCGACCGGGAGGTGCAGTTGTTTGTTGCGAACCGAGCGTAAGTGTTCTGCAAAGCGGTCCCCGAGTCTCCGCTTGGTTTCCCCGATGTAGAGGAAGCCACACCGGGTACAGCGGATGCAGTATACCACATTGGCAGATGTGCAGGTGAACATCTGCTTGATGTGGAAAGTCTTCTTGGGGCCTGGGATGGGGGTGAGGGAGGAGGTATGGGGGCAGGTGTAGCACTTCCTGCGGTTGCAGGGAAAAGTGCCGGGTGTGGTGGAGCTGGAGGGGAGTGTGGAGCGGACAAGGGAGTCACGGAGAGAGTTGTCCCTCCGGAAAGCAGATAAGGGTGGGGAGGGAAAGATGTCTTTGGTGGTGGGGCCGGATTGCAGATGGCGGAAGTGTCGGAGGATGATGCGTTGGATCTGGAGGTTGGTGGGGTGGTACGTGAGGACGAGGGGGATTCTTTTTTGGTTCTTATTGCGTGGACGGGGTGTGAGGGATGAGGTGCGGGAGATGTGGGAGACACGGTTGAGGGCGTTCTCGACCACCAAGGGGGGCAAGTTAGGGTCCTTGAAAAACCTGGGACCTGATCAGGTGTACCCTAGATCTTTGGAAAGCTAGAGAAATGATTGCTGGCTCCCTTGCTGAGATATTTGTATCATCGATAGGCATAGGTGAGGTGCCAGAAGACTGGAGGTTGGATAATGTGGTGCCACTATTTAAGAAAGGCGAGGAGGAAAAGCCAGGGAATGATAGACCGATGAGCCTGACATCAGTGGTGGGCAAGTTGTTGGAGGGAATCCTGAAGGACAGGAATTACATGTATTTAGAAAGGCAAGAACTGATTAGGCATAGTCAACATGGCTTTGTGCATAGGAAATCATGTCTCACTAACTTGATTGAGTTTTCTGAAGAAGTAACGAAGGAGATTGATGAGAACAGAGCGGTAGACGTCATCTATATGGACTTCAGTGGCGTTTGACAAGGTTCCTCATGGTAGACTGGTTAGCAAGGTTGGATTACATTGAATACAGGGAGAACTAGCCATTTGGATACAGAACTGGCTCGAAGGTAGAAGACAGATGGTGGTGGGGGAGGGTTGCTTTTCAGACTGGAGGCCTGTGACCAGCCATGTGCCACAAGGATTGGTGCTGAGTCCACTGCTTTTTGCCATTTATATAAATGATTTGGATGTGAATATGGGAGATATTGTTAATAAGTTTGCAGCTGTCACTAAAATTGAAGGGGTAGTGGACAGCAAAGAAGGTTATCTTAGAGTACAACTGGATCTTGATCAGATGAGCCAATGGTCCAAGGCGGCGGGGGTGGGGGGGGGGGGGGGGGGGTGGGGGCAGATAGAGTTTAATTTAAATAAACGTGAGGTGCAAATCAGGGTAGGACTTATACATTTAATGGTAAGGTCCTGGGGAGTGTTGCTGAATAAAGAGACCTTGGAGTACAGGTTCATAGTTCCTTGAAAGTGGAGTTGCAGGTAGATAGGATAGTGAAGGTGGTGCTTGGTATGCTTGCCTTTATTGATCAGTGCATTGAATATAGGAGTTGGGAGGTCATGTGGTGGCTGTACAGGACATTAGTTAGGCTACTTCTGGAAAACTGCGTGCGGTTCTGGTCTCCGTGCTATAGGAAGGACATTACAAAATTTGGAAGGTTAATTAAAGATTTACAAGGATGTTGCGAGGTTGGAGGGTTTGAACTATAGGAAGATGGTGAATAGGATGGGGCTATTTTCCCTGGAACATCGGAAGCTGAGGGGTGACCTTATAGAGGTTTATAAAATCATGAGGGACATGGATAGGATAAATGCACAAGGTCTTTTCATGGGGTGAGGGAGTCCAAAACTAGAAGGCATGGGTTTAAGGTGAGAGGGAAAGTATTTAAAAGGGACCCAAGGGGCAACTTTTTCATGCAGAGGGATATGGGCCAAATGCTGGCAAATGGGACAGATTTATTTAGGATATCTGATCGGCATGGATGAGTTGGGCCGAAGGGTCTGTTCCCATGCTGCACATCTCTATGATTCTCTGACTCTGCTGAATGGTGGAGAAGGCTTGAAGGACTGAGTAGCCCACTCTTTTACTTGTTCGTATGTATGAAAAGAACATATTACTACCTTAGCCTTCATGTGCAATATTTTTTTCAGTTTATTATTCTTCTGGATTTAATGCAGAAATCAGATTATTCTGCACCTAGTCTTGTATGGGTCAAATGTACAAACCGGGATCTAGACATGAGTGATTCATACAAATTAAGATATTAGACCATAAAAACCTCTTGTTTTAGTTTTAGTAATATTAACCAATGGGTATTCAAATAAACAGAAAATATTGTACAAAATGATGCTTACGGACTTACAGCTATAACAATGCTGGGGAGGCCCCACTCGGTACTAAGCAGACGATGGCTATGCAGTCTTCCTCGAGTATCGAGATTTCTCTCCAACACATCCACTCCTACCACATTGGGATTCATGGGATTGGGGTATTTACGCATCGCAGCTTTGATAACTGTCTCCCAGGGATGGCTAAACAATATAATCATATACAACCACACGGCATATTAGCCAACACCACTATAACGGAAATGGAAGGGAAGAAGTGTGTGCAAATGGCAGTTATAAAACGGTCACCTTAGCCAAATTTACAATCAGTTTAGATATATGTATACGGCAGATACTTCAAACATTCACATGCACTGAGATATAGTAATGCATAGTGAATCACTGCACAGAATTTATTGTAAAAATATTCGATCATTTAATTCAGCAAGAAAGATAAGAATCACTTTTCTTCTATGCTGCAGACTATTCCTCATCTTCTTCATTCAGAATTCAAAGAACAGTACAGCACAGGAACAGGCCCTTCAACCCTCCGGGACAGCGCTGAAATATGCCTTCCTAAACTAAATATCTTTTGCCTCTACATGGTCCATATCCTTCTATCTCCTGCCTATTCATTTACCTGTCAAGATGCCTCTTAAATGTTGCTACTGTATCTGTCTCAACCGCCTTCTCTGGCGGCACATTCCAGGCGTTTACCATCCTCTGTGAAAAATACTTGCCTCTCACATTTCCATAAGCTTTCCCCCTTTTACCTTAAGCTTGTCTCCTAATAATTGACATTTCTACCCTGGGAAAAAGACTCTAAATATCCATTCTATCCATGCCTCTGATAATTTTGTAAACTTCTATGAGGTTGCCTTTCATCCTTCGACATTCAAATGAAAACAAAGCGAGTTTGTCCAATCCCTCCTCAGGGCTAATACACTCCAAACCTGGTAACATCCTGATAAACCTATTCTGTACACTCTCCAAATCCTCCACATTCTGGTGGTGGGGTGACCAGAACTGTATGTAATATTCCATATGTGGCCTAACTAAAGTTCTATACAGCTGTGGCATGACTTGCCAATTTTTATATCCTATGCCCCGACCAAAGAAGGGAAGCATGTTATATGCCTTCTTAACCACCTTATTCACTTGTGTTGCCACGTTCAGGGAACCCCATGGACCTGTATGCCTAGATTTCCCCCTGTACATTGATGCTACTAAGCATTCTGCCATTTACTGTACACTTGCCTCCTGCAGTAGATCTTCCAAAATGCATCACCTTGCATTTGTCCAGATTAAACTCCATCTGAAATTTTCTGCCCAAGTCTCCAACCTATCTTATCCTGCTGTATCCTCTGGCAATCCTCACTATCCACAGCTCCCTCAATCTTTGTACCGTTCACAAACTTACTAAGGCTACCTACAATCTCCTCACTATCCGCAGCTCCCCTAGCTTATGTATCATCGACAAACATAATAATCTTCTCCATTCTCCTCCAAATCATTTATAAACTACAAGAAACAGGTGTCTCAGCACTGATCCCTGTGGAACACCACTGGTCACAGATCAAGCAAATTGAATAATGGAGGTTTGGAAGCTCATCTTGCAATCAAATACAACATCAAGCTTGGGAAGGGTTGGAAGCAGTGCCAAGAGAGCAAATTTTGTGGCACAGACCAAAGACAATTATTTCTGTTCTGCCAATATTTAATTGAAGGAAATGTTTGCTCATGCAGTACTGCACGCTGAATAAGCAATTTGAAAACTTAGAGACTGTGGAGGAGTTTAGAGCTAAGTGACAAGGTAGAGATCAGTGTCACAAGGGAAACGTGACTCCAATGTTTTTGGATGTTGTTGCTAAGAAGCAGTGTGTAAATGGGAAATAGGAGGTGGTAGTGGTGTTTGATCTAAATTCATCTCTGGGGGAGTCTGCAGCCACAGTTTACGGAATGCACCTCCAAAAATGCAACTAGATACACCAACAGTCTGAATCCCCAGCCAATATAACTAGGATCACCACCACATCTGTTCCCAAATAAAAGGCTGGCTAGGCATACAGTAAACAATTAAATACCTTCCAATGGGAAATGTTACTTGTTTTTCACACAGAGACGCACACAACCCTTCACAGAAATAACAGTCCTCCAGTTCTTTCTGCAATGCAGAGTCCCAGGAGCTTATGAATCTGTAAGGCACATTTTTGCGCAAAATTTGATTTCTGGAGAACCACAAACTAAGTTGCTCAAGCAGATTTAAACACAGATTCACAAACTGTTTCATGTCAGCTTCCAGCACCAACAGCCTGATCCAATCACAGAGAATATGGGGCAGGCAGGAATGCCAAACCACAGCCTCCCCACAGCCCCAAACTAATCCTTCACTTCTGTGACAGGCCAGACTCCCAACTTCCTTCTCCCCCTCAGGCCGAACCCCAATCCCCTCCCTCCTTCAGGCCGAACCCCAATCCCCTCCCTCCTTCAGGCCAGGACCTCCAAAACACCTCCTCCCCTACGGTTGGCTTCAATCCCCTCCGCCTGAGGCTGGACCCCAAATCACTCACCCTCAGGCCTGAACACCCAACTCCCCCTTTCAACCCACGCCACATCTCATAATGACGAAGCCTCGCCTGCCCCACGCCCTCTCATGTCAAAAACCACTCTCCCTCTCTTACCAGACCCTCCCTCGGTATTCCTCAGGCTGGGCCGCCTACACACCCTCACACTGCCCCCTCAGGCCTGACCACAATCCCTCTGCCGACCTGAAGAGGTGCTCCGAGCTCCAGATCTTCATGGCACCGGAGGCCAGGCCGCACTGTGTCCGGGAAAGGAGCTGCTCCTTGCCCCCAGACCCTTCACACCAGCCCCCACAACTCCTTCAGCTCCGCCACTCAATCTCCACCTGACAGGAGCCGAACGTCTACTTCCGGGAGACCGAGGCAACACCGCCCCGCCCACTAACCGCTGCCCCGCCCAGGGATTGCGTCACCTCTCCGCCCACTACCGCATACACGCCCCCTACACGTCATCGCTCCACCCACTAACGGGGTAGCTGCCCACGGATTGCGTCACCACCCTGCTTTGCCAACCGACGCCTGCTCCACGGACGTACGCCACGCTCACTGACGGCGGCCCCGCCCACAGACGGACGTCCCGCCCACTGACGTCCGCTCCGCCCCAAATTGCGCTATCGTCCCGCCCACCAGCTCCGCCCCCCCCAACCTTCTACGGAACAAGAACAGAAATTGCTGGAGAAAGTCAGCGGGTCTTGGCAGCATCAGTGGCAAGAAAGCAGAGTTAACGTCTCGAGTCCGGTGACTCTTCATCAGTACTCCTCTTTGAACGATGCAAACACATAAACAAAGGGTCCCGACCCGAAACGTCAACTTTCCTGATCCTCGCCTGCTGTGTTCCTCCAGCTCCACACTGTGTTGTAACTACACATACCCATTTTTTAAAATACAAAAGTTTCAGCGACAACATGCAACAGCTTAAACTGGGGAGCTAATAACTATTTTCACTATAAATTTAAATGCTACGTTGTATAATGTGAAGTCAACATTAATAAAGTATATGTAGAGTTAGTCAGAGATCACAATTTGACAAGACATTTCACATACACATAAAACAAATAAAGGAATCTCCTCGCAATGGAGAAATTATACCAGATGATAAGCCCCTTCATCTCTAACCATTTGGGTTCAACTGCCCAGTAGTAGCCATGTTGCTGAGGACCAGAAATATTTAAGATGTTGTCAGACCCAATAACAAGAATACCTCAAAAACAACTTATTAAAACAAGGGTTAGTAGGAACTGCAGATGCTGGAGAATCTGAGATAGCAAGATGTAGAGAAGAAGGGTCTAGGCCCGAAACGTTAGCCTTCCTGCTCCTCTGATGCTGCTTGGCCTGCTGTGTTCATCCAGCTCTACACCTTGCTATCTCTTATTAAAACAAGGAAATGGTTTGAATTTCCCTTCAATAGGATTCTTTACATCATGCGGCAATGTTTCTCTTATCGCCTGCAATAGAAAAAAACTGGGTTTGTCTATCGTGTTGAAGAATCCAACAGACATTTAACACAACTATAATGTACAATATGACATTCCTCATAAGTGTCTAGGCTAACATTAAGCTATTAGTTTACAACAAAGGAGCATGCTTTCCGTAGGTGTCATGCTTAAAGTGATCCAAGGTAAGATGGAAGATGAGATGTTTAGATCTCAGGAAACAGCGATCATAAATAAGCATTTTTTTAACCATAAAGTGAGTCAGCCTTAACACAACAGGCAAGTTGTTTGGGCTACTGTCTACAGTCCATTTCTTCTGATGAAGGGTCCTGACCTGAAACGTTGACTTTCCTGCTCCTCTGATGCTGCCTGACCTGGTGTGTTCCTCCTGCTCCACACTCATTTCACTCTGACACCAGCATCTGCAGTTACTCTTATAAATCCTCTTTGATATTTTGACACAACAATATCTTAGCAAGTTCAAACACTCGAATGCCGACAATACAAAGTTGTTTTCTTTGTAACTTGCTGTGTTGAGATTTATCTAAGTTTTTATTTTAAAAAATACATTTGTTTAATTTCAGATGTAACTGTCTCACCTTGTATTTCATCTCTTAACGTTTACGGTGTAATGTATGTTCGTTGGTCGATCTTCTCACATGGAATTGTTGGTAGGCATTGGCCACTCGAACAGTTTCTAGTCAGTGAAGTAGGATTCTAGATCAAAAAAGAGAAAGAATAGCGAAAAAAAGTATGAAAAACAGCATAAGAAAACAGAAAGACCAAGACTGGCAAATGCGGTATAGCAAGTTGATGACAAAGTCCATGGCAGTGGTTTGATTCAATGTAAGATTGTTGAGATTTCTGATGGCGTGACTGCGCCAGCGAAGATGACGACCAGAGGCTAGCCTACGTCATGACGCAATACGCTACACCTCTATCCGGCATGTATCCAGTCAGCCGCGGGACACTTTGTTGCAGCCTCAGGGAGCGCAGGAGAAGTGACAACAACTGCAGGTTGTACATTTTAAATGTTATGAATTTTATTATTAAACGTTTAAAAAACGAAAGAAGCAACAGGGGCTCCAGTCGAAAAGTCTTGCTCCCAAGCGCACAGCGAGTAGTGATCGTGAGGTTCCTGCAAATGCAAAAATGACAGGTTACGTGGGCTTGTGATACGGGTTATCATGATCTTGAAGCGATCATTTGCTTGTCTATGAGGCTCAGAGGAGAATTTTCTGCTGTTCATTCCCTGTTTGATACATAGTATTTTGCCTCGCACAGGAGATTGCAGCCGAAGGGGAGAGGGGGTTTAGTCGCATGAGTTGTTTGCATCATGTCAAAACAGGAGCGTCTTGGCGGAACATAAACAAAGTTGCTGGAAAAGCTCAGCGGGTCTGGCAGCATCTGTGAAGGAGTCTTGGCGGACTGTGATCTTTGCCTTTTTAAACTGATGTTTTTGTACTAGTGAATTAGAAATGTACTAACCTCGATAAGTATAAGCGTGTCTCAAATGTTTCTTACCATGAATTTGCATTCACTTTATTTCAGTCTATGTTGGGATAGTGCATATGTCTGCAGGATTACGTGACATTCTCATCTCCAAAGTTTGGTTACAAAACCTACACTAGAATTCTCCTGCTCCCTTCACTTTTACTTAACTTTATCAATATAGATTGTGTGTTCCTGCAATCCCTTAGGTCAGCTTTACATATTACATTTTAATTCCGTTGGAATCTGTTAGAAATGATGCTCATTTAACGAGCCGGTGCGGTTACGATGGGCCGAACAGTATCCTGCACCATACCAGGAGAATCCTTTATGAACATGGCCATTCCACCTACCGCTGCCCACTCCACCCCATCTGTTCTGAAAATATTTAGTTTTCTCATTTGTGTTTGATATCTTTGCCTTTTTATACAACTGTATTTGTTTCTCAATACATAAAAGCCTTTCCTACCCTTTAATCCTGAACACTATTTAAATTGGTCATCAGATACAAAGACGTAAGCTATTTCATACTGTCAACAAATATTCTTTGATAAAGGATTATTAATTTTAAGGTATAGGTTTTCAGGTCAAACAGTAAAACCCAAACCTCTGGAAAAATCAGGATTAGGAACTGTGTAATTTCTGACGAAGGTTGTGCCAAATGTCTATTTTTTAAAAATTCATTCGCAGGATGAGGCATCGCTGGCTAGGCCAGCATTTATTGCCCATCCCTAATTTCCCAGAGGGTAGTTACCAGTCAACCACATTGCTGTGGGTCTGGAGTCACATGTAGGCCAGACCAGGTAAGGATGGCAGTCTCCTTCCCTAAAGGACGTTAGTGAACCAGATGGGTTTTTCCCCCGACAATGGATTCATGGTCATCATTAGACTCTAATTCCAGATATTTATTGAATTCAAATTTGAACCTAGGTCCCCAGAACATTACCTGGGTCTCTGGATTAACAGTCCAGCGACAATATCACTAGGCCATGGCCTCCTCATCTGTTACACTCTTTGTAACAGGACTAATCAGTGTACTCTGTTATTTCACAGAATTAAGTGTAATGAACAAAGAACACAATGGGGAAAAAAACCTTTTACACAACTAGTGGCTACCGTCTGGAAGACAATATCTGGGAACCTGGTAACAGGTTCAATTGTGGCATTCAAGAGGGAAACGAAATATTGGCTGAAAAGGGAGTACAAAGTTAAAGGGAGAAGAAGTTAGAGACAAAAAACAAACTGCAGATGCTGGAATCCAAGGGAGACAAACAGGAAGCTGGAATAACACAGCAAGCCAGGCAGAATCTGGAGGAAAGAGGCACTGGGTGAATTGCTGATGCAGAGAGTCGGCAGAGAGAATGGATTGAATGACCCTTTCCAATTCTGTGATACCTCTTGCATCCGATGTCTAATACAACTGTGATGTTATAAGTTCTTGTTTGAAACTATTTTTCCTGCAGTTTTCAGTGACCGTGTGGATGGATTATTTTAGGACATTTTATTTAATAAGTGCAAAACCGACCTATAAGAGCGTGTTGGTAAATCAGGCATGTGAGACCATCTTGCCCCACTTATATTATAACATACCAGCTCTCTTTGCGGACCTGTAGAATTCGAATAGCTTGAAGTGGGCAAGTTGAAAAATCCAAGCATATTTGTATTTAAATCCAGGCGGGGAGAAAAAGAAAAAAACGAATTTCAGATTGTTAGATGAGGTTGCAGCTTGTCTCACCTCTTTTGGCGATGCTAATTCCTATTGTCAATATACCAGCACGATGTGGGAGAGCAAGAATCACTCAAGCAACTCCATCATCGGGTGACACGAATATGAAATCGTAGGAATCGAGCAAATAAATAGCGAAGAAAAGACAGGTGAAGAATATAAAGAGACACACGGATGGGCACAAACAGCAGCACTGACACAGGCAGTATACAAGAAAGGACATGGCAAACTTGCCGCAGAGTTGGGGGAAAAGTTTCCCCTGAGGTTGTCGCAAACATCGACGTAACTGTGCGGGGAACACGTGACGAAAAGGGGGCGGGGATACGTCATGGCGTCACGGCACGCAGATACGCCCACAGTGATGTCTGACCCCAGACGGCCTTGGAGGGGGAGGGGTAGAGATGATGATGATGATGATGGTGGTGGTGGTGGCGGCGGCGGTAGTGGGACATCAATACGCTGCTTAGACATTGCTGAGGAGTATCCTGAACTGGACAGGGGAAAGAAAGGAGAGAGAAAAGGAAAGAGATAATCAGCAGGCGATGGCGCACCGCTATGTCGTGTTGGCCCGTTGCTGCCGGGGCTTGTATAAAAGTTTTGGCCCTCAGCGCGTCAGCCGAGCCTGGAGGCCGGTGAGTAAGCGGCAGAGCGGCGTGTTTACACAGGCAATAACCTTCACTCAGCGCAATACCACTCTGTGGTGGTACTGTTTAAAATACGTGCCTGCCTGGTACCGACAGGTTTAAAGTCGTTGACGCATGTGACGTTAATCAGTTTGTAGGGTTAGATCATAGAATCTCTGCAGCAGGCTATTCGGCCCATCGAGTCCACACCGACCCCTGTGAAGAGCAAAAACAAAGTTGCTGAAAAGCTCAGCAGGTCTGGTGGAATCTGTGAAGGAAAAAAACAGTTAACATTTCGGGTCTGGTGACTCTTCCTCAGAACTGAAGGAACTGAACCCTGTGAAGAGCATCGCACTCTGTCCCTGCATTTCCCATGCTTAATCCACCTAACCTGCACATCCCTAAACACTATGGGCAATTTAGCATAGCCTGCACATTTTTGGATTGGCCTGGAAGAAACACCACACAGGCAGTCGCCTGAGGTTCGAATTGAACCGGGGTCGATGGCGCTGAGAGGCAGCAGTGCAAGCCACTGTGCCGCCCTTATGATTCAACCAGTTCCAATAAACCAAAACCAACAAACATCAGATAATGCCTTATAGAGATTTGCAAAATGATGTAATTTAGTTTGTAGTTGTGACAGGATAATTTCCCCCAACCCTGAAATAATGGTGCAGGGCGTCTTGATCAAACTATTGGAACATATTGCAGCCTTGTAACAGATTTATAGAGTATATGTGCAAGGTAGTTGTACTGATATTTTATTTTATAAGTCACTTACTTGGGCTTGGATGGAGTGTTCTCTTATTCTGGGCTCTACACGTCAGAAAGCATGTCAAGGCATTGGATAAGATGTAGTGTGGAGAGTGTTTTGGTCACGTGGAGAGAGGAGAGCACTACATTAGTTGGAAACATAGCAGCACTCATCCCTGTGACTGAGGTTCATGTTTAATGTCCGTTCCCAGGCTTGAAGACAAAGTTAGTGCTGACACTTCAATGTAATACTGTTAGGGACTAGCTATCGCTAGGCACCGTCTATTAGATGGAATGTTAAACCAAGGTGTGCTCTGTAGACTGGTGGATGTGAAAGGTCCAAGGACCTCATTCTGAAGAAGAAAACAGCAGTTATCCCTGGTGTCCTGGCCAATATTTATCTCTCAATCAACATTGCAAAAGCAGATTATGTGCTGTCATCACATTCCTTTATATGAGAGCTTGCTGTGTGCAAAGTTGGTTTCCATGTTTCCCGCGTTCCCACAGTGACCATCCTTAATGTCTGTCAGTCTTTCGAGACTTTCACTGTTCGTGAAAAGCAAGTATTTTTTTTCACTTTTACCTCTGATTATGTCGATGCAACTTTGCTGCAGGATCCTTAGAATTCGCTCCCCAAATTAGAGATATTTCTCCAAAAGAAATAAGTCAAAAGGAAAATAAAAGATTTTTCTTAGGAATAAGTCATAAGACGTTCTCTGGGCCAAGCTTAATATATTTTAAGGTAACGTGATGTGCTTACTCTGCATCAGTGTTTGCAATTAATCAATGACAAAGCATCAGCAGGACATTTGTTGAAAAATATTTGAGTAAAAAAATTGTACCTGTGAATTTTTAAGATTGATTTTCTGTGAACTGTGCTATTTTTAGGATGTCGAGAAAGTCCACTGAACAAAAAGCATTAATTCATTGTTATATCGGAGTATGAAAATGATTCCTGCGACCAATTTCTGTTATTGTTGCAGAAGGCTGTGGATACTAAGGACAGAAATAGATATGTTCTTGATTAGTAAGGGGATCAAGGGTTTTGGCGAGAAAGCAGGAGAATGCGGTTGAGAAATATATCTGCCATAATGAAATAGTGGAGCAGACTTTAAGTTGAATGGTCTAATTCATCTCCTATATCTCATGGTCTTATAGAGAGAGTCATAGAATTGTACAGCACAGAAACAGACCCTTCAGTCCAACTCGTCCATGCTGACTAAATATCCTAAATTAATCTGGTCCCATTTGCCTGCATTTCACCCATATCCCTCTCAATCCTTCCTGTTTGTGTGCCCATCCCCAGTACTTCTTAAATGTTGTAATTGTACCAGCCTCCACCACTTTGTCTGGCAGCTCATTCCAGACACGCACCACCCACTACACGAAAAAGTTGCCCCTTAGGTCCCTTTTAAATCTTTCCCCTCTCGCCTTAAACCTATGCTCTCTAGTCATAGAGTCATTCGTATGGAAATAGAGTTTTGGTCTAACCAGTCCATGCCGAACGTAATTCCAGACTAAACCAGTCCCACCTATTTGCTCCTGGCCCATATCCCGCCAAACCTTTCATATTCATGTTTCTATCCGAATGTCTTATAAATGTTGTAATTGTACCTGCATCCACCCCTTCCCCAGGAAGTTCATTCCACACACAAACCATCCTCTGTGTAAGAAATTTGCCGTCATGTCTTTTTTAAATCTCTCTCCTCTCTCCTTAAACATCTGTCCCCCAGTTTTGAAATCCCCCGTTGTAGGGAAAAGACAACTACCATTAACTCTATCTATTACCCTCCTTATATTATAAATTTCTATTGGGTCGCCTCTCAACCTCCTACGTTCCAGTGGAAAAAGTCACAGCCTGTCCAGCCTTTCTTTATAACTCAAATCTTTCATACCTGGCAACATCCTGATAAATCATTTCTGAACCCTCTCCAGCTTGGGAAAAAGATCTTGACTATTCACTCAATTCATGGTCAGAAATCACATGACACCAGGTTATAAATCAACAAGTTTATTTGATTCAGAGATAGTAGGAACTGCAGATGCTGAAGAATCTGAGACAACAAGGTGCAGGGCTGGATGAACACAGCAGGCCAAGCAGCATCATAGGAGCAGATTATTTGATTGTTGGACTGTAACCTGGTGTTGTATGATTTCTGACCTTATCCACCCCAGTCCAACACCGGCACCTCCACATCACTCTATTCATATCCTTCACAATTTTATAATCCTCTATAAGGTCACCCCTCAGCCTCTGACACTCTAGGGAAAATAGACCCAGACTACGCAGCCTCTATAGCTCAAACCCTCCAACCCTGGCAACATCCTTGTAAATCTTTTCTGCACCCTTTTGAAGTTTCACAACATTTTTCCTATAGCAGGGAGATCAGATGCTAACGTAAAAAGCAAGTAGCTTAGATTTATCAATCTAGCTTACAGTTCTTCATTACAGTATTACTTGGAATTGCTAAAATAGGCCACTACTATTGGCTGGTCCAACTTGCCTTGCACTATGTCCATTTAATGTAAAACATTTGTGAGGAGTTCAAGATTTTTAAGATGCACCTTCCTCTACTAATAAGTGTATATGATTAATGCATTGGACCTCATGTTAAAGTGCCATCCTAGAAGGTGTGAGTAAGATGATATGATAAATAGTATATTCTCAGCATTCTCTGTTGCATTGTGTGATTTCTTGCAGTTTTTAGGTTGTACACACTATTGTGTGGGCTTGGATAAGAGCAGCCTACTAGCAGATGTTCTAGGTATCTATGGACGACTCTGCTCACGACCACCAAAAGGTGAGTAATCTTGAAAGTGTCATAAATTTGTAATCGTTATTGTCATATTTAGTCTGTTTACCTTCAAGCCTCCATTTAATTCTAATTTTTTCTATTTTTCAAATTATTTATAAACTTATATTGGAGTTAAAACACAGGTTTGGATTTGCATTTTTGGGCCGACTTAATGGATTTTAGCTGTCAATTATGGACAGTCAGGCATTTTTCAACATCGTGGGACAAGTTACCTTGTAGACTCCTGACAGACAGTTTCCAATAATTAGTTTCAGAACTGACAGTAAGGATCAGGATGCTTGCCCACCACCTGGGGATATTGTAATGATGTCCAAAAAAGGGACAAAAAAAAAATCTAAATCTGCGTGCATGTAGTGAATGTCAAGATATGCAATCCAAGTACTGATGATAGACAGTTGCTTGTTTGTCGATTACCCCAGTCTAGAAGGAGCAGCTCCTGAAGCATGCTGTGTAGACTTCAATCTTGGAAATTTGTATAACAGGCTCCATTTGCACATAGCCTGATTTAAGGGGAGGCAATGGCTTGGTGGTATTATCGCTGCACTGTTAATCCAGAAACCCGTGTACTGTTCTGGAGACCAGGGTTTGAATCCCGCCACAGCAGCTGGTGGAATTTGAATTCAATAAATATCTGGAATTACGAATCTAATGATGACCATGAATCCATTGCTGATTGTTGGAAAAACCTATCTGGTTTGCTGATGTCCTTTAAGGAAGGAAACTGCCATCCTTACCCAGTCTGGCCTACATGTGACTCCAGACCCACAACAATGTGATTGACTCTTAACAACTAAGGGTGGACAATAAATGCTAGCCTAGCCTCTTCCCATGAATGAAAAAAGAAGAGTTGCTTTGTAAAGCAGACAGACTGCACTGGATGGTAAACTGGAAATTTCAATTTCTGCCATCTCACAAGATATTTAGAGGAGCTACTGAGACTGGCAAAAGGTGGCAAGTAGTATTCCATAGAGACCAATACTGGAATCGTTGCCATTAACCATTTAGAACCAGATCCATTGCAGGCAGTCACCATTTCATCACATTGCAGTGACATGATGTTAACCTGTGTCTATGTGGTGGCATTAAAAATAAACACAGCCTCTTAACATATTAAAAGCAAGTTGTTGTATTATCTTTGTTATGCATTGTCTTTTTTTCATAATGCTATGGAAATATGTGTTGGTAATAGCTAAATTGGAAAATTAAACTAATTTTACAAGCAGAAATCAAAGTTAGTGCTCGCTGGATAGTTAAGGCTGGCAGATGAGAACATTACCATTTAGATCACCTGCCAATCTGACAAGTGTGTATATATAATTTTCCCTAGAATTCTATACCAACAGCACTGTGGTTATACCTTTACCACATGGGTTTCAGCAGATCGCAAGGGGTGAGTGATTAATGCTCACACCCCTTGAATCATTTTTACAAAAGCATGCTGAAAAGTTGCTTAAATATAAAATGGTTGACTGTAAAATTTGCTAATGTTTCAAACATTTTAAGTTCATTTTGAGTAAAACACTTTGTATTGAGAAACATAATATTAACAGCCAGTGTATTCACTGTGGAATTACTAACCTTTATTTTTAAAATGGTAAAAGTTCTTAAAAGTGTTGGGGCTAAGTTTCATTGCTGGCATAATTCTACACCTTTAATAACTCCAAATCTGTTATTTTTTATTTCAGTTGAAGGTATTCTAATGATTCTTAGACCACTATTCAGATAAATGATCTGGTTTTGAGATAAGTGGCATTTGGGTTGAGTTGCCCAGTAAACCAGAACAAGATTAAGGGATAATTCACCTTGGGCAATGTTACAGGTTATCCTCCACAGCACCAGCATGTAAATATTAGTACTCTATGCATTCCCATAGGAATTCCACTAAGGTTATTCTGAATGAAACTGTATCCCAACACAAGGCTGAGTCAAACTTAAAAATGTCTTGAGAAATTCAGCAGGTCTGGCAGTATTTGTGGAGAGAGAAAAGTAGTGTAAAAAGGTTTGAGTTCAGTGTGACGTTTTTCAGAACTGAATCACATGTTCCTGTAGTTCTTAAGCTAACTTTTATATGAACATTTTCAAACATAGAGTTTTTTTTTCAGGTTTTGAAAAATATTTTCCAAACAAAAAGTCCAGAAGCACAAGTGAATCATCTAATGGATCATCCAGTGAGGCACAAGGTAGTTTATTAAAATATACGATTTGCACAATTTAGAATTTTTATTTAAGTTAAAATGATTACATGGAAAGAGTGGCTTCCTATAGGAAATAGCCCTTGTAAGCAACCATATCCATTACATAATTTGCATTATGTAATGCACACATTAATTCTGTAAGTCTTTCTGACTAGCTAAATGAAATGAGTTTTTTCATCATTAGAATTGCACATTTACAAGGTCTGCAAACCCATCTAACTAAAAATGGAGTCTGGACAGTTTTTCGTTGACAGTAATTTATTGCATATTCCACAGAAGCAAAATCGACAAATTCTCAACGTTCAGGGAGCAGTGGTGCAGGTGGTGGAAGTGGAGGAAAGAAAGGAGGCAGAAAGGATGAGTCTACCTGGTGGGCCAGATTACAGAAGGTAACTTTTTTTTAAAAAATATATATTAATTCAAGGATATTGTTACACTGGTTGGGCCAGTCTTTACTGCCCATCCTATCACCCTTTGAGAAGATGGTGGTGAGCTGTCACCTTGAGTCCATTTGAGGTAGCTACATCCACAATAGTGAGGAAGCTGTAGGATTTTCACCCAGCCATCCTGGCTGTTCAAGACCATAGATCATGGGTTTGAAAGATGTTGTTTAAGGAACTTTGGTGAACTTCTGCAGTGCAACTTGTAGGTGGTACACCCTGTTGTTGCTGTGTCGGTGATGGAGGAGTGAATTTTTCAACATGTGATGCCAGTCAAGCAGCTGCTTATCTTGGATGGTGTCATGCTTTTTGAATGTTGAAATGGCTCTATTGTCTAATAGAATGAGAATAGTACAGTAGTGAAAAATCATCTTTGTTTGAAGCATTGGGATATAGATACAACTTTGGGAAGAAGAAATAGCAAAAGAAAGAAGTCTCGGAATAATTTGTAGGTCCATCAACAGTAACTACATGGTAGGACCGAGAATAAATTAGTAAATAGTGGGGGCTTGTAACAAATGTTCAGTGATAACGATGGGCAATTTTAATTTTCATGTAGACTGGATGAATCAAATTGACAACGGTGGTCGGAAAGATGAGTTCATGGAATGTCTCCAGAACCTTTTCTAAGAACAATATATTCTTGAACCAGGTTAGAGACAAAAATTGCAGATGCTGGAATCCAAGGTAGACGTACAGGAGGCTGGAAGAACACAGCAGGTCAGGCAGCATCTGGAGGAAAGGAGCGGTCAACGTTTCGGGTATTACCCTTCTTCAGGACTGGATGTGTGGGTAGGGGGA